AACTCCGCTTCTAATCTAAATCAGAACACAAAAGTACATGACCCCTTCACTTCTTGCTAGGCCCTGTGGCTCATCCAAAGCAAACACCTGAAGGCAGTCTCAGAATGACATTTAATCATGGGGTCTGCATTTTCTGCGTAAGGCCATGCCCTCCGAAGTCCAGCTTAGGGATCGTCAAACTGTCAACTCGCCCACTTCTCTGGGACCAATCACACACAAGCTCCCCAAACCTCCCTTCCCCTCATCAACCCTCAGGGAACACCAAAGCCTGTTAGGGAGTTGGTACCTATAACTCCAAAATTAGGGTTAGGGCACAGGCCTGGGGCAGGGTACCAAATTTGGCCTTTGTTAGGGCTTATACGAAACAGATTGAAAAAGTCAGTTGTGAAAAAGACATATCTTTAGTCTTCATCTAAAAGTCAAACCTCTGTGAACTTCCATTTTTAACTGTAACAGAGCCAAGTGGAAAATTTGTTTCCCTCCTTATTTATTAAAGAAGGACAAGGAACGGAAACAAAAAAGAAAAGAATTCTGTCGGGGGCTAGTTCGCCACTCTCCCACCCGGTTTCCATGGGCTGTTCTTTAGAAACACGGACACAGGGGCCGTGTGCAAAACTGCCACGCTCTTGGCTCACGTGGCCTCTCCGCTGTGCCAGAGAAGCAAGAGCCAAAGGTAAGATGACCACTTCTGAGCCACTTCGTCTCTGCCTGGGAGCTCCCACCAGGAGCTCTCCAGGCTGCTGCACAGTGACAGACAGGAAGAACGTCTAAACACTCTTTCAGACTTATAGAAAAAGAAAAAAACAAAACACCCACACAGTGGGGAACAATTTCCCCACTGTGTGGGTGGTGGGGCTCCGAGAGCTGTTATCTGCAAAGGGCACTTCTGGGGGTTACCCAGCTGTCACCACTCTGTGGATTCCACTTGAAAACCTCAAGCCAACCCGGGGGGGAATGAACATCAAGAGACGATTTTTCCACTCTGTGAAAATGACTTGACTGTACAGACATAAATTAAGACTCCATGATAATAAATGAAATGTGTGCAGGACCTGTCGTAAGATGCACGGTCAGTCACAGCTGATGCTCCTGCTTGCCTGGCACATCTACAGCATCAGAGTATGACTTTGTCATTCTCCACTTCCTGACCCTTGAGCACCTGACCCCATATGACGTCTTTCTCTCCCTCCCTCTCTCTCTCCCTCTCTCTCTCTCTCTCTCACACACACACACACACACACACACTCCTATACCACACAACCAGGTCTGGCATTACTGGTCTAGCAGGAGTAGAAGCTGAACCAGCAAGTCTGAGGGCAGAGGTGGGAGTCATTGGGGTGAACCTGTGTTAGTACAGGAATGGAGGGGAGGGATGTTCTAGCTCTGTTCATCGTAACGAGGGAGATTTGATGGCTGGAGCAAAAATGCGGGTGTATAAAAACAATACCAGGCATCCTTTGGGCCTTAAGTCCCTCTTTTGCCACACAAAGTTTCCCCTTTCCAAGCTGCTCTGCCCCATGTGTCTATGGCAGCCTAAGAGGTACTGCCTGCCCACCGAGTTTGTAGGATTTAGTGATTCCGTTCCTCCTCTGCAAAAGTCCCTCCAAGCCACCCCTAAGTGAACCCATCTTCCCAATGCTGCCATCTGGAGCCACGTTCACTTCCCCCTTTCCCTTCATCCCACTTCCATCTACTACAAGAATCTTGCACCATTGTTCTTGGCCTTGGCCCTCCTATTACAATCTGGGAAATGGAGCTGGTGATTAGAACCTCAAGTCCCAAACCTTGCTTCCAAAAGTATCCTAACCCACATGAAGAGGACCTTGGAAACCCTCAATTCCAGCATCTGTGTTCTGGGTAGACATGACAATAGAAATGGAAACCATTTTTCAATAGCAACTGTGAGCCTTTCAAGGGAACCCAGAACTACATACAGGTAGGACACAACCCCATCTTGAAAAGCAATCAACGGAAGAACAGTATGGCGATCCCTCAAAAACCCAAAAATACAATTACCATATGATGCAGCAATTCCACTTCTGGGTATATACCCAAAAGAATTGAAAGCAAGCTTTCTAAGATATTTTTCTTTTTCTCTTTATTTTCAGATTATTTACTTTTTATTTATTTGAGCAAAAGAGAGAGAGAGAGCCCAGAAGGAGAGTGAGAAAAAGAAGCAGATGCCCACTGAGCAGTGAAACCAACAATGGGACTCGATCCCAGGATCCTGGGATCATGACCTGAGCTGAAGGCAGATGCTTAACCAACCTAGCCACCCAGGCACCCCTCAAAGAGATTTTTACACGGTTCATGTTTATAGCAGCATTGTTAACAATAGCCAAAGGCAGGAGCAACCCAAATGTCTATTGATAGATGAAAGGATAAGCAAAGAGTGATATATATATTTACATATCTATATAGATATACACACACACACACGCACACGCAATGGGGGTATTATTCAGCCTTAAAAAGGAAGGAAATCTGACAACCACTACAACATGGATGAATCCAGAGGACATTATACTAAGTGAAAGAAGCCAGCCACAAAAAGACAAATACTATATGATTCCACTTATCTGAGGATCCTATAGTAGTCAAATTCAGAGACAGAAAGTAGAATGGGGGTTACCAAGGGCTGGAGGCGGGGGCGGGGCGGGGATGGGGAATTAGTGTTCAGTGAGTACTGAGTTTCATTTTGGGAAGATGAAAATGTTCTAGAAATAGATGTGGTGATAGTTGGACAAGAATGTGAATATACTTAGTATCACTGAACTGAATACCTTTTAAACCTTTTTTAAGGGTTAAAATAATAAATTTTATGTTAGGTATATTTTACTAAAAAAAAAAGTAATCAACAGAAATATTGAAGTTTCAATTAATCTAAACAAACTAGCAGGATTTTTTTAAAGAAGAGACACAACCAGGGGCAGCTGGGTGGCTCAGTCGGTTGAGCGTCTACCTTTGGCTTGGGTCATGATCCCAGGGTCCTGGGATCAAGTCCCACATTGGGCTCCCTGCTCAGCAGGGAGCCTGTTTCTCCCTCTGCCTGCAGCTCCCCCTGCTTCTGCTCTCTCTCCCTTTCTTTCTCTCTTTGTCAAATAAATAAATAAATCTAAAAACGAAGGAGGGGGAGGTGGTGGAGGAGTGGGAGGTGGTGGAGGAGGGGGAGGAGAAAGAGGAGGGGAAGGAGGAGGAAGAGGAGGAGGAGGAAGACAACGACGAGGAAGAGGAGGACGAGGAGGAGGAGAAGAAGATACAACCAGAAACACACATCCTTCATCTTCCTTCTCTCTGAGGACAGAGATAGGTGACAGGGCCAGGCAGCAGGAGGGACAGAAGGGTCTCCACCAACCCAGTGAGGTGTCAGTAACCTCACATTGTGATGCCAGGTGCCTGCCCTGGCTGAGGGAGGGGCGAGCAGGAATCTTCTCCACAACATAGGCCTGAACCCCATATAAGCACAGGGGCAAAGGCACCACCCAGCCTTCCATCAGGTCTACCCTGCTCTGCTATCTTACCTGATTCCCTGACTCGAAAAGACTAATGGTTGGCAAATGTCCCTTAGCCTCACCAAGTATTAAAAAGAAAACTCTCTTCTCAAGCTCCATATAGACTCTGAGTTTCTGCACCAGTTAGAGCTCTCCATGGAGCCACAGAGTAACCCTCACCATTGTGCGAATAAGCCATGATTGTTCTCTGAACCAGAGCAAGACCTTAGCTTTCTTAGGGAAGAGGCATCTTCAGCTCTCATGCAGAAACAGCCAGCTGCTTTTCTTGAGAAGGGGGACTCAAGTATGAGGAAAGTTGCACCCAAAAGGAAAAGAATGGAAAGGGCAAAATCTGCCCTCCCCTCCCCATACCCCCACCCAATATGCAGCGCACATGAGGGTCCAGGACCCGCTGTCCACATCAGGCTTCCCAAGGGCAGAGCCACTGTAGAGCCCGTCAGTCCAGGAGCCTGGGCCGGGCTGACAAGGGAGCAGGTGCATCTGCAGGACACTCTGCCTGGCCGTGCCTAGCACCCGGCACACCTGCGATCTCGAAACATCAAAGAAGTCCGGGCTTCTCTGGAGCAGCATTCTCCCAAGAGTAGCCAGGAGTGTCCAGCATGAGCAGTTTTCTTCCCAGACACTCATTCGCAGTTCTGAGTGCTTCTCACCCCGTCCTGCCTTCTTCCTGCTCTACCCCACACAGGGCACCGATAGCTCTTAGAGGTCTCTCTGCCCACTTCGTGGCTCAAGTCACAGCTGAATGTAAATGAGTACATGCAACCTGTTGCAAGTATTTTTGGAAGGCAACCTCCTTTGAGGTAACTACGGGTTGTTTGTAGAGAGCTGGCCAGATGTCTCAAGCTGACCGGCGGGTGGCACTTTGGGGAGGCTGTGAACAGGTTGTGTAAGGACAGGAGGGACATAACTTGTAGCCTGTCCATGGAGACAGGATCTTTAACTAATTCAACATTTTAATACATTTTGATGAATATTAGTACAAGAAACCAACATTTTTCATAAACATGGTGCACTTGAGAAAAAGGCAGGAGTCATGAAGCAAGACAAAAAAATAGAGCTTTCAGCCATTCTCAGATGAACGTAAGACAAGAAGGGGGCCTCCATGGAGGGGCCAGGGGCTTCACTAACAAGCCTTCCTCCAACTTTCTGTTTGCCTGGTCTCCGCCTCTCACGCACAACACCTCTAATTCTGTTCTTATCCCTACATGGAATACATTACCCAGGAATCACTTGTGTTCCTGCCCTACAGGAGTACATTTTTCGTTTAAAAGAAATGCACTACCTACCACCACTTTTATGTAAAAACCTTCTTCCTCCAAATAGCCAGTGATGCTCACAAATCAAGCAACTAGAACAATTCTAATTCTGTGAACTGATACCATGGGTCCAATAGTCACCAAAATTAAGCTCAAAAACCCACAGACTTGAGCAAACTAAAAGCTATAAACCAGTAAGGTTGTGCCTTAAGAGAAAAAAAATTAACTTTACCTGTGGCTGTAGCGAATGGCTATCGTCAACCCAAGCTGTAATTAAAAAGAGGGGAAAAGCAGATATTAAATAATATTAAGAGTATGCTGAATTCACAAGAAAATTCACTTATTATGGTCCATTATTTTTTAAACATTTCCTAAAATCTCCTACTGCTTATGCTTCATAAATAACACGTTTTAATGATAGATCTTTAGTTTCAACACAGTTCTTAAAGGATAATCATATTTTGAAAGGGTCTTAGAGACACCTAAAATATTTCTTTGCATCTCTCAAATTAGATGGGTGTCTCTCATCTGGCAGATCTTCCACAACAGAGCTTTTTTTTTTGCTTTTTAACCCTTTTTTCTTTTTTCTTTACATTTTTTAAACTTAATTTTTAAATTTTTTTATTGAGATGTAATTGACAAATAAATTGTATATATTTAATGTATACAATGTGATGCCTTGATTTACATATGCAGGGTGAAATTATTACCATATGTTATGACATTAATTAACACATCCATCACTTCACAAAGTCACCTTTTTTTTTCTTTTTTTGGTGAGACCACTTAAGATGTACTCTCTTTGCAAATTTCAAGTATACAATAAAGTATTGTTAACTATAGCCACTGTGCTGGGCATTAAATCTCCAGAGTGTATTCATCTTACAACTCAAAGTTTATACCCTCTGACCAACACCTCCCCATTTCCCTCACCCCCAGGCCCTGGCAACCACCATTCTACTCCCTGTTTGTATGAGCAAAACAGGGCTCTTTCAGCTCTGAGACAAAGCTGTGAAAGGATGGGATTCAGTGTGTGGCTGATTCTGAGGTTTGCCATACCCGGGTCCGGGGAGGAGTTCTTTCCCTCACCCCCTGCCCCAGGAGTGCTGAGCGGAGCCCAGGCCATGGGGTGGGGGAAGACTGACCACCTGGGTCAGAGTCTTGTCAGGGGGATCTGCGCAGCCTTCACACTGATTCCATGAGCTCAAGGCCAACATATTGCGCTTCTGAGGACAGCAAAGAGATTGAGCCTTCAGTGCATGTGCGACATCAAGAGAAAGTGTATACCATCACTGGACACAGTGACAAGTGGAGACCATGGTGACACCTTGATTTCCTTTTTACTCTGTGGGGGTGGCATGGAAACCTCTCAAGCATAAGCTGGGATCAAATCATATGACACGGACCTCAGCTAGTTCGTGCAAGGTCATAGCCGATTCTGGAAGAGCCAGGCCACAAGAGTTCAACTGCTAACCATATGGATATCAATATTTAGATTCTCAGAGCTTCAGTGTTTACAACTATATAACAGGAAAATATTTTCTCATGTAAGGATTAAGCAATTTTTCTGTTTTTGTGTTTATACCTGTGTGTGCACACACATGTGTGTATACTGCCTATAGAAAGGAAAAATTCCATGAATAATAACTACCACTACTACAACTATATTTGGGCAATACCTCATTTATGAAAATGTTTTCATTTTCCAAAAAATTTTTAAAAGATTTTATTTACTTCTTTTAAGAGAGAGAGAGAGATGGAGCACTGAGTGTAGTGCATAAACACTGAATCTTGGAACACTGAAAAAAATTAATTTAATTAAAAAAAGGAGAGACAGATAGAGACAGAGAGTGAGCATAAGCCAGTGGGGAGTGGGGGAGAAGAACAGGGAGAGGGAGAGAGAGAATCCCAAGCAGACACCCTGCTAAGCACAGAGTCCAATGCAGGGCTCAATCCCACAACCCCAAGATCATGACCTGAGCTGAAATCAAGAGTTGGATGCTTGACACACTGAGCCACCCAGGCAGCCCTTCATTTTCCAAAATTTAATTTTTAAGTTAGTTCTTAGAACTGAGAAAGTATCTTGTCTTGTAAAAATGATGATCAGCTTCAACCATGCCTATATAACTCTCATCAACCCACTTGTGGCTGATCTAAGGCCCTGATAGTTTAAGGAACTCACAGCCGTTAAAAATCCAAGCATCATCTGGTTCAAAGTCTACCTAAGTTGAACCTTCACATCACTAGCAGTTCCCCTGATGTTGGCCCCAATGGCAGTGGGGTAGGGGTGGGGGTGGGGTTGGTCACTTCCATGGGGTTGTCCTGGACCCTGGATGACACAAGGGTCCCTGGGCAGTGGAAGGGTGGAAGGGGTGATGAAGAAGCAAGGAGAGGGAGAGTTAAGAGAAGTAAAGTCATTGGGATGAATATACTATATGTCAACTATATTTTAATTGATTTTAAAAAAATAAAGAAATTCCGGGGTGCCTGGGTGGCTCAGTGGGTGAAGCCTCTGCCTTCAGCTCAGGTCATGATCCCAGGGTCCTGGGATCGAGCCCCACATCGGGCTCTCTGCTCAGCAGGGACCCTGCTTCCCCCCTTCTCTCTGCCTGCCCCTCTGCCTACTTGTGATCCCTGTCTGTCAAATAAATAAATAAAATCTTAAGAAAGAAAAGAAGGAAGGAAGGAAGGAAGGAAGGAAGGAAGGAAGAAAGGAAGGAAGGAAGGAAGAAGGAAAGAAGAAAGTGTAACACTTCAGTCCAGCTTGACACACTGCAGAATCCCCCAGCTATTACCTGAACAGCTCAGTTCCAGAATAGTTCGGCTGGGTATTACCACCATGCACACCCCAAATGCAGAACTGACAGGACTCAGGGGGGACAGGCTTGAATTTTACCAAAAGATTCTCTAGAAGTGGAGGCATTAAATCTATGACATCAAGGTGATTTCATACCACACTCACCTGAATGTACTCAATTATCTGTCAGCTGAACCAGGGGTACTTTTTTTTTTTTTTTTTTTTGAGATTTAAGCAAACGGAAAAGGAAGATGCCTCAGGGACAATCAAGAATTTAAAGAACAAGGAGGAAATTACTTAGGGAAGGAAATAAAAACAGAAACTGTAGCCAAAAGGTCAGGATGAGCAATTTATGATTTCACATGCCATGTAACTTTACATTTCCTGGAGTTAAAAAGTTCTGGCTTCCACTGAGGCTAATTACAAGATAATTTTACCAACCGAATATTTTTTTTTAAAGATTTTATTTATTTATTTGACAGATAGAGATCACAAGTAGGCAGAGAGGCAGGCAGAGAGAGAGAGAGAGAAGAGGAAGCAGGCTCCCCGCTGAGCAGAGAGCCCGACGCGGGGCTCCATCCCAGGACCCTGGGATCATGACCCGAGCCGAAGGCAGAGGCTTTAACCCACTGAGCCACCCAGGCGCCCCACCAACCGAATATTTTGATAAGCTTTCAAGTACTGCTAAACTGGTGGCTTTTCTGCAGTTGAAAGATGCGCCTTTGCTGGAGGAGGGAGAGAAAATGGGTGTGGGAGGGCCAAAAATAAGAAAAAAGCAGAGGAAGTCTTTCAGTGTAGCTGTGCTGGTTAAAAGAGGCTTGGTATGAATCCTTCACAGAGATGAATTTCAATGAAGCCCTCGCATTTGTCTTTTCCTGGCTTCTGAACCAAGTATGTTTTGTTGTCATTTTAAAAAGGACATCTCTGTGAAGGAAGAAAGCGCAAACCAGGGAATCACACAGACCCGCCGCTGCATTCCAGGGGCCTCTGTATGAACAGGCCGGGTAATGACATGCTAGGGAACTAGATGATTCGAACCCAGGCAAAGGGCCTGGAGCTACGTGAGACCTGACTCACGTGGTGGATGGGAACAGGGCACCGCACTGTCATGCTGGAAACTGGACTTAAACTCCACACAGAACGCCCCGGATCCAGTTTGGCAGCCCTGACAAGACCCCTGAAAGGTGGAGAAGAGCCCTCATGGGCTTTGCCCTGAAATCCCAAGTTGGAACATGCGTAAGGAGACTATGTCTCTTCTGCCTCCTCTGCATATTATCTGACCCCAGAGAAGGCAGGGGCGGTAGAAAATCTCTGAGGTTTCTGGACCATAGTAGATAAAAGACAAAGGCCACTGTGTAATCTGCTGAGAGATGGGCCAGAGATAACCTTCTGCCCTGGCATTAGGAACCTAGCTAGTCAGGCCCCTCTGAGCACTCGGCGTGCTAAGAAGCCCCAGCAACCCGGAAATGCTTTGAACCAGTCTTGCTCCTGCCTGTGTCAGCACAGACGTGCGTGCAACCATGCGCCTGTGCACAATTTATAACCACTACACATGCGTGGGCACACAGATGCACACACATTGTGTGCCCTGAGACCCAACTCACCCATGTGTGCACACATACGTTTGCACGCATGCATACCCACACTCACGCGTACACGCACATGTACACCACTTGCGTGTGCACGCGTCCCAACAAGCATGTGTTCATATGTGCTCAGTCCATGCACATGCTCACACAGTACTCAGATGCAGACACACGCAGGCACCAGCACATATGCGCACACACACTCATACAGATGTGCACACATGCACTGACCCACATGCACAGAGAAGCTTCAGCATTCAGAGAGGCCCCCAGAGCCCCCCAAGACAAAGGGAGGCCTCAGACAATTGACCCTTTTGTTGCTGGTCTCAGCAGGAACCCAGAGGAATGGGAGGAGGGAGGCCAAAGGGTTGGCCCCCTGACCCCAGCCCAGCCAGGGCTGAGGCCCGGGGACATGGAGGTCAGCTGGAGTTTTGTGCGGCTGCCCTCCCTGGAGAACAACCCCCCGGGACATACTGTAAGTCTTGCCAGAATGCACTCCACAAACTCCCATTCAGAGTCTTTTTTTTTAGATTTACACAATTTGTTAATAACAAAATTAAATCACATTTTAATGGCAAGGAAAGAATAATTGAACATTTTTCAAAATCTCCACCAGCTACAAAAACCTTTTTTCCTGCTGCTTTGGTCTAAAAATGCTCCTTTTTTGGAACAGCTGACTGAGGCAGCTGTTTTGTATCAAGTCTGAGAGTTTTCTATATGACCCAGGGAGCTCAGACAACAGGCAGACCTTGCTGCATTAAAGAGTAATCCGAGAATAATTTGCCATAAAACCCCCCAAAGTGCACCAGCTGTAGCCAGATACGCCCTATAAAGCACCACTAAGACTGCACAGACCTTGTAAAATAATCATAATAATTTTAGAA